TTATTCCTTTGCCAATACCCTTAGAAAATATCCTTGAGATGTATCCATCTTAAAGAATCCTTGTTGGATCTAGGCAGTTTTATCCAGAGCCAATTTGAATATATGTTGGAGTTAGTAGCCCTATTTTAACATAATGCAACTTGGAAGAGTGAACTACTTCATGGCATTGTGTTTTATAGTTGTAGGGAAGTAAATCTAGTTTGGTTTCTAATTGCTTGAACTTGTCTCAGAAATCAAAAGTTCATGTTTTCCTAAAGGGACTTTTTCCATATTTTACTTTATTTTTTTCTTTCCGTGTTTTCACGGCACATTGATTGAGAAAGATGTAAATATAAGGCTACAGCAATTTAATTCTCGGCAAAAGGCTATGCAGATGAAGTTGGTGAGTTAATCATCTTCATGATTTTTCAAATTGAAGTATTTTTACAAAAGAAAAAGAAAGAAAGAAAGAAAAAAGACTGAAAATCGTTGTCGCAAACGAAAAAATTTATTAAGAAATCTTAAATAATATAGCCAATTATCAAATGACATGTTTTACACCTATTTGAAAGCCAATGATTGCATACAAATCATAAAATGTATACATGCATATCTCTCTATCTTTCCGTTTCATTATACACGAGTACATGCATATATATATATATATATATATATATATATATATATATATATATATATATATATATATATATATATATCTATATATATATATATATATATATATATATATATACGCACTTATCCATAAAAAAACATGTATACACACACGCATGCGCGCGCGCAAATGCATAGAATATGCACACACATGCTGTACACACACACATGTATACGACATATATATATATATATATATATATATATATATATATATATATATATATATATATATATATATATCCGTATGTATGTACATACACACACACACACACACACACACACACACACACACACACACACATATATATATATATATATATATATATATAGGTTTATAAAAATGTATATATATAAATTTAAAAAAATATATAAATATGTATGATGAATATAAACGTACACACACACACACACACATATATATGCACACACAAACACATATATATGCGTATATGTGTGTGTTTGCATGTATGTATGTGTATATACATAATACTAAGGAGAAAAAGAGAAAGAAGAAAAGAAGTAGAATAAACAAACGCACCCAGATGCCAACATGGATGATACTCTCTCCTCTTCTCTAGAACAATAACGATAAGAAGACAAGAAAAAAAGAGGAGAGGAAGTTGATGAAAAGGCAGAAGATGAAGACAGAAGAAGTAGACAAACAAACAAACATGCATTATCCCCATACCCCAAACACACAATGGACAGAACTATTCACCCCCATGGGTACCCCCTACCCCTACATACCTGACATAGGTCAAACTATCTATCTAAGACCAGGTGTCACAGCAGGATCTCCACCACCCCTCACCCCCACCCCTTACCTCACACACCCTGGACATAACCCCCTACCTATTACCTACATGTATGACATGACTTCCGGAAGTGATTATCATAATCGATTACTGAAAATCAATAACCGTGATTAATGAGGGGAATACGTACACCCAAAAAATGTCCCCTTCTCTGCAAAACAATAATACTAAGGAGAATAAGAGAAAGAAGAACAACAAACAAACGTGCACCCAGTTACCAACATAGAGGTGCCCCTCCCTCCTTTCTAAAAAAAGAAGAAAAGAAAGAAGAAAAGGAAGATGAAGACAGGAAGTAGACAAACAAACAAACATGCATTATTCCCATTCCCCAAGCACTCATCGATGTTGCCCTATCTCATCCCGGAGAGGCGACGTGCATGGCAACTTGGTAATCATCGCTAACCTTATCAGCGACGAGGAAGATCGCAGTTTTTAGTTAACGCAGGAGATGGATGTAGGGTCCAAGTATGATTTAAGCATGTCTGTTTGTGCTAGTTTTATTTGGAGAAGGTATAACGCACAGAACGATTTAATCACCCTTTTCCTTGGATTGTTTTCTTTATTGGGATGCCTTAGCATTAAAGCTAAAACCTGCTTGGTAAGACACGATAGAAGGCTACATATATTATCGGATCAATACCCATGATCGTTTTCGCATCTCTTTAGAGAGGGGAGGGGATCCTCTTGTGCTACTTGTTTGTTTTTGCTACAAGTTCAGGCACGATGAATAGCTATGTGACCTAATTCACACCAGAAATGGTCCTCTTTCGACCTGAGAAGGGGGGGGGAACTGGATCAATACCTTGACCTATACCAGCAGCTTGGTACATGTTTGTTTATTTGTCTCTTTGTATTCTCCCTCTTGTATGTTCAGACATGAGGAATAGCCATCATTATTTATTTTGAGACGAGGGAGGTGGAACACCCTCCATTTGTCTACTTCCTGTTATGACACGTCTGATACGTAGGTAAGGGGGTAAGGGGGCACCCAAGGGAGCTTCACAAGGTCCATACTGTGTTTGGGTGAGGGGAAGGCGAGAGGGGAGGGCGGTGGGATTGAGGGGAGGGGTGGATCACCTGTAACACCTGTAACGGGTACATGTTTGTTTGTTTGTGCTTCTTTTCGTCTTCCTTCAGGAGGGGTGGGAGGGTGGTGGAACCTGTGACACTTGCTCTCAGGTCGATAATATATCAGGGTGCATAATGCATATTAGTCCAGTGGAGATGGTGTTATGGGTAACCGGCAATAGTGTGTTTGGGGTACACAATGCATGTTTGTTTGTTTGTTTGTCTACTTCTTTCTGATTTCACCTTCTTCCTTTTCTTCTTATTATTATTGTTCTAGAGAGGAGGAGGGGGTACCCTTCGGTGCATGTTTGTTTGTTCTTCTTTCTCTTATTCTCCTTATTATTACATTAGACCTATTTCCTGTTATGACACGTCAGGTACGTGGTCTTAGGTCGATAGTTTGACCTATGTTAGCTGGGTGCATGTTTCTTTTCGTCTTCTTTCTCACTCCTTATTATTATTGCTTTGGAGAGGAGCGGGCACCCTTCGGGCGTGCGTGTTCTTCCTCATTAGTCACGGTTATTGATTATTGATTACCCGTAATCCATTGTGATAATTACTTCCGGAAGTCATTAGGTCACCTGTTATGACACGTCTGGTACGTAGGGGGGTACCCATGGGGGTGTGTAGTTCTGTCCAAGGAACCACTACTTATGTCTAATATAAAACAAATTGATTTGTTATTCAAAAATAAAACTAATCAAACCATTATTATATTATTTTTTTTTTTTACATCATCATACTCTTTTGTTTCACTGCATAAAAAACGTAATGCTAAAACTGTTACATCTATATCTTCATACAATGTCGGAGAAATACAGCACATTCTCACTGTTCACCGGAGTAATCGGGAAAGCGTTGAAAAGTTCATGATTCTTGATGTTCTCACTGCTGCCCCCGCATATTGTGATGCTGCACACGGGTGCGCAGCATCACACTCCTTTGCATGCATAGACGTTTTCATTTTGTCTGTATAATTTTCTTTTATATTCGCATAAACAAGCACAAGGTTTCCACATACAAGCAGATATTCTATAAGGATTTAATGTATGAAAATACATAAATTGTATACATGTATAGATATATATATTCATGTATTACATATAACATGTATATATACATATATATATATACACACACATATACAAATTTTCGGGGTACCCACTTTGAAGGTAGAGACTTGTTTATAATTTTCTTTATGAATCCTGAAAATTCCTAGTCTGAGAAAGATTATAGATCAGCCGGTCCTAGTCTACAATATTTTAACACAAACCAAATTTATCGTACTTGAGAAAGTGCAGAAAAAATGATATTTTTTACAGGTTAAGATACCGAATCAAAATTTCGATATCACATGCCAAAACATACTTGATTACTGGGGCATGGGAAGATGGTCAAAGTCAAAGACTAGGAAAAGCTTTACTTATAACGATGTAAACTCACTCAAGCCCTTAATTGGCAATAAGTCGGTTTTTAATCAGGAGGGACCTTTATTTCTTCTTGGAGGCGAATTCATATGCGAAAAAGTGATAGCTCTAAAGTTTTCATCTTTTCTTCAGGTGAAAAACAAGTTTGATATGCATTTTAGAGCAGCAGCACTTTGTACTTGGTGGAATGTTACCTTTCATTCAATAATAGTTTCATTCAGTACCTTTCATTTTTTATCTACATCAAGTTTGCCAGAACACTGCATGGTTTCAACTTGTGGTCGTGTCTGGCGGGCATAATGCAGCTGGTAATTTGTCTGGCATAGTCCATTCTGTACTCTCTCAGATGTGTTGAAGTATATAAACTTTATTTCAAGTGGTACTAATAATGTTTGATCCAGCCCAAATTTTTAGACCCATTTTGGGCGTCTGGTAGTCCTAATACAGCTGGCAGTATGTCTGGCAAGGCTCACTTTGTACTTGGTGGAATGTTACCTTTCATTCAAAAGTAGTTTCATTCAGTATCTTTCATGTTTCATACACATCAATTTTGCCAGAGCAGAGGGGGCGGGTCACTTTTGGCGTGTCTGGCAGGCATAATTGGTCTGGCATTGTCTATTCCGCACTCTCTCAGATGTGTTAAGTATATAAACTTTATTTCAGGTGGTATCAATAATGTTTGATCCAGCCCAAACTTTTAGGCCCGTTTTGGGCGTCTGACAGGCCTATTGCAGCAGAGATTGTATCTGGCATGAAGCATTTTTTACCAATGTGATATGTAAATTACCCTGAAATACATTATGGGGTACCTCTCTATGTTTGATCTAGCTGATTTTTTTTTTTTTTTTTTTCCCCTTTTGGGAGTCGCCAGGGGCCAAACGCAGCAGGGAGTCCCTGGCAGACGTTCAGTTCTTCATATGCCCTATCATTCTCTACATGATCCTGTACTCAGCAAATGGTACCAAGTTCGTCTGAGAAAACCTCCCTTGGCTGCCGGTCTATTTGTATAAGTATGTGTGTGTGTGGATTTGTG